AGATATACATAAAACATCTTAAAGTCCGTTTAATCGATTATCTAATATTAGATTTTCAAATCTTTTTTATCAAATATTTTATGGAAAGTATCTTTTAGTCACAGCTTCCAATCTTTAACATTAAATATTTCAATTAATATTGAGTTATTTAGAAATTAAATTAAATATTTATTCTCGTAAGATGAAATTATATAAAATTAATTGAGATGTAAGCTTCTTACCCTAGAAACTTAAATATATAATTAAATTTCATTAAATTAAATTTCATTACATTTCATTAAATTAAATTTCATTAAATTAAATTTCATTAAATTTCATTAAATTAAATTTCATTAAATTTCATTAAATTAAATTTCATTAAATTTCGATGCTAAATTATCTATATATATAATTATTAAAATTTCTTTAACTATCATTTAGTACATAATGACATCCGCATTGGAATTTTCTCGGACACTTTCTATAAAACACCGAGCACGGAGCCAATTCGAACTGTCTAACGACATCGCACAGCGTTCATCGTCTCCTTGCGCTTTAATCCCTCTTATTTATTGCCCTCTTCCTCCTTCAACCTCCTCTTTCCGCGTACGTACTCTGCGCTAACAAGGAAATGATGTAAATATAGATATATACATATAAGCGGGCGGTACGCAACACGTTGCACGCATGCCTTCCTGTCGTACTTTCCTGCATCTGCACGTGGGTGGCAATCAGCCCGTCTCACCAGTCCCATTGTAACGAACGGCGACTTCTTGCGTTCGCCATTAATTAAGATCCATCCCCACGAGAACCGCTAAATAGCTCGACCATTATCCGCCTTTATTACTCGATTAATTTGGATTTCACATTGCATTTTCTTTTTTTCGGCAAAAATTGATTAAATCATTAATTAAATGACCAATATAATTACAAAGAATTCAAAATTCGATATTGTAAGGATGTGTTGCAAGCATGATTTTTACTGTAAAAATATATAATCAATATAAAATATAGTATCAAAGATTTACTCCATCCTTAGTTTCAAAATGTACTAGTTTCAATCTCTACTATACTTTACATCGTTATGAAAAACTTTGCGAGAATAAAGTCGTGCAACTCTTCACGATCGAGAAAGTACTTCGACAACTTGTCGTTAGCAACTGATTGAAGTTAAGTCAAGTAAGAAGTTAAATTAAAGGTTAAACGTTAGTTAACATTTAATGCAGGCTCATTAAATTCTTTTCAATTGCAGATTTATTTCTACTACAGTAAGGACTTTGAAAAGTCATTAGATGTAACTCAAACGAAAATATGACAAAAAAAGATTATTTTATTCTAATATAAAACTTTAGAAAAAAATTTAATTAACTAAATGATTTAGAAATTCTAAATTTTATTTGAAAATTTTTATAAAACTATAAAAAATACTTTAAAAAATATATCTTACACATTAAATCTTTTTGTAAAAATGAAAAAAAATATAAGTTTGATTTTCGAGATTGTAGTTATTTGTCTCTCTTCTTTCTAGAAATTATAAGCTACAATTTTTACTGATTACTCAACTTATCTGTATAAACGTGCAAATGAAAATCTATAGATTAATCCTGTTGTTATGAAAAAAATTTTGCAAAATCTCAACTTTGTTGTGTGTGAAGTAGGACCCCCCCCCCCCTACAGAAGCAGACAAAAAAATAAAGATGAGTAAAAATACAGAATTCAGCAAAAAAACGTCTATTAAGCTGGCACAACCATTTGTTTTGATCGATTTTTAAAGACAAATATGGAGTAATAAAATCGGATTTATTAAAAATGACGAGCAACAAAATCATTGCGTTAAAAACATTATCGATCGAAATATCTGATTAATTTTCAATTTTATAATACTTTTTTAATATGGGGTAACTTTGAGTATGGTTTTCGGAATTTAAAACTGTAGCAAAAAAATCGGGAATAGAGCAACAAATTAAGATTACAGAAATATATCGATTTGTTTGTTTAAAAAAATTTTTTTTAATGGTTGTGCTAACTTTAGATTATAAAGTTAGCACAATCACTATTTTCTCCGAATCGGAGCAACTGGAACAACAGAATCAAAAATAGAGCAACAAATTAACAACAAAAGAGCACTAAATTTATATATAAATTTTATTCAATTGTGCTGAAGTGACCAGCTTAATAGACGTCAATTTAAAGCAATGTTCAGTAAAATTTCAGGTGGATCTTAAAAAATGAACGTGAGAATTTGTCGAAGTCGAAAATTGAACCTGCTCGACTGACCACGATAATTGATCGTAGAGGAAATAATACACAGACCCCAAGCACAGAGATATTCTTTGAAAAGCTAACGATTCGCGGAGTAAATAGAAATGAAATAAAGGAATCGGATTATTTTATTATATCAATATTTATTTAATGATTAAAAAAAGAATTTTTATCTTCCCAAGAGAATAAATCTATTTATTCTATTGTATTCATTTTAAACACAAATCCACGAAAAGAAATGTACGAAGGACATCTAAGATTAAAAAGAAAAAAGAATAAGAATAGAAGACAATTGTATCATATAGTTTTAGCTGGGTAACAGACAGGATAAAAGAAAAGCTAAAAGCGGTCACGATTTCCTTTCTTTTTGGTCTATTTGCAACGAAATAACATCGTAAATAGCTGTCGGTTGTAAGAAAAGTACGTGGAAAGGAACTAAAAACGCTTTTCTTTTCAGTTATCCGGATAAAGAATGTTCCTCTTTGCAATGTGAAATATGACGGCATGATATCCGTTATTTCCTTAAGTGCGACAAAGCGCAATGCGAATCTTGCGCGGAATAAATTAAAGCGCGCGAACGTAATCGCGCCGTTCTCGGCGAAAGACAAGTAAAATTACCGTACTTAAAGTCACCTCAGAATCATCCTGACGGTGTCTGGAATAATGTAAAAGTAGCATAAAAGAGACAGACAGTAACCAGAAAGCCAATGAATTCAGGCTTATTTCTCGCGACACGCGAGGCAGAACGCGAGCGGAATAAATGTCAGAGAAAATACATGAAAATTCCAAATAATAATTCACACGATTACGAAATTTTCCCCTCTTCTCGCGACAGGTGCGGACACTTAAAGCCAAGATATTTGCGCGTCGGCGAGAGATATTATTTTTAATTTTCTCAACAACGAAGAGATATTATTTTTAATTTCCTCAACAACGAAGCGAGAGAAAATGTAAATATTCAGACAATCAATAAATTTATAAACTGTCATCGGCAGGCATTTATAGTCGCTGAATCGCGAGATAGACGAGAAAGATAAAATATAATGGCAGATTACATCCGATAAAATAAAATGATGTCGAGGAGAGCCGTCCGCAGCCGGTCATCTCGTTCACCGACTGAGAAAGCCATTCGATGTACTCGTCCCGTTTTCTCTTTTCGTCCCCGCCACCCCGTATCGTCGCACGAAACGAAACGAACGAATGTATATATGGATGGCAGGATAATGCCGGGGCCGTGTATATCGCAGAATGGACGGAAGAGCGTGACGGAAGAGCTAGAAATGAAAAAGGAGCAAGAAGGAAATACGACTGAATCGCAGCAAGCCCTCCCAGATGCCGGGTTTTTTGCCAAATCCATTCTCGCGTTCGTTTCGCCACCGAATCTGTCCGTATAAGGACAGGATAAACAGGAGAAAGAGGAGAATTGCGAGTTTCCGATCAGCTTGTATTTAAACCGATCGAATCGCAAATAGAGAGGTCTTCAAGAGAGAGAAAGAGAGAGAGAGAGATGCTGCAAGATTTAAGCCTCGAATTTACGACGATAGACGTGAAACGCATTGCGAGGAACTGGATCTGTATCGCATATGGCTCCCGCGCGTCCATTTTTACATCGTTAATAATAATAAACGGTCGACGGGCTACGTGACGCTGACGGTTATCGAGGACCGAGGATAAACAATTGGCCACCGCGCGCCCATAAACGGTGATTTACGAGCGGCATGAACGCTTTCGACCTTCCATCGGCGATCATCTCGATGATCACGCACGGTATATAAACGTCATACGTGCTAACTACAATGCCTATCGAGAAGCGTTTATCAAGAGCGATGTCGATAATGGGAAACGTAATTGTTCATCGTTACGGTTCTCGTAATGATCGACAATTTTTTTTTATTATCTCCGCTTGGTTTCCACGCTTCAACAATTGGCATGAGATTTTCGCAACGATGTTATGCGCAATTTTTATATGAAGAAAAAAAAGAGAAGTTTTTTTATATATAATTATCACGATTGTAATGCGCGCATGTGAATCAGGTTTTGTAATAGATAGCACCAATCAATCGAGGAAGCGTGACTCGGCAAGGCCACAGACCTTATTTAATCCTTTGCAGGAAACGGATATAGAGACAAGATAGTGTACAGAAAAAAAAGATAAATAAATATCTGAAGGGATGCAATCAACATCCCTTCAGATAATGTACATTTTCACGTTAGATTAAATTCTGAAAGCCACCATGATATGCAATGTAACATATGTCATGCGTGTCATGCGTGACTAACCGTATTCTATGGAGATTTCTATTCTACGATAAAAGACAACTGCTGCATACAAAAGAAACGCGAAAAAGAAAGTCTATGTTAATTCGATGAACTCATCTCTCGCTATCGTTCTTTCCTAACATCGCGCGACAAGATTTGAAAACTCGCCGAGAGAAAATCGATTATTTCCTCGGTAATTGATTGTATCGTCACTTTAGAGAATTATAAATGTATAGAATCTACATTTTAAGACTATTTCGATTTCTGATAAAATGAAGTTATTACATAATTAAAATTATATTAATTATAAAAATTAAAATTAGATACAATTACAGTATATAAGTATTTCTCACGGAGAGTAAAAATTGAAGAGAATTTTATGCTATTAAAATTTTATAAGGCAATCAGTGTCACTGTTTTATTCAATTCGTGATCTGAATAAAACGAGTAATAAAATTTTTATTTTAAAATAATATAATAGAAAAGAGATAAAAACTCACCCAGCAACCGGCGTCATCTTTAGTGCCAATGCTCGGCTGATGCAGAATCCAGCACCACCCGTGGCGAACCAGAACTTCACCTTTTGCTGAAACACATACGAGAGAAAATGACTTTGTGAGAGATTCGGTTAAAAATCGCGGGAGTCGCCGCTATAATTATACGATACATCGATCCGAGATCAGACCGAGTGATCGATCATCGACCCAAGTATTCTGGTCCCGCGTTCCTTATTAACCGATTAAGGCTGAATGACTCGTTTGATGAGAATTAGGGATCGGGATAGATTGTATCTTGACGTATCGTCGAATGTCACGCTATCTCAGGAATATAAAATAAGGACGAAATTATAATATTTCAGCGATCCTACGTCGAGATTCGATCCTCGACTTTCGCTTCGAGGTCGTTCGAGGACTTGAATACGATTTCGTGGTGGTCGTGTGATCGCTCGAGCAATCACACGACCACCATGACAGTCTAATTAATAATTTAATTTATTCGAAAAAATAAATAACAGTATGAAGGTCTCTATCGAGACCGCCGGGCACGATGACGTAAATTATAAGAAAGAAAAAAACGTACACGAAGCATTGAGAAAGGTATCTGCTTCCTATTGGTCCTTTTCGCGGTGATCTGGAAACTGCTCCAGGAAACGTTCTCTTGTCCACGACGGATATACGAGACATATACACACACGTACACACACCTACATGGCCGTACGCAAGTGCGAAAACACAACGAGCTGAGGTACGAGCGATTTCTGGCCGATTGCCGTAGCCGCGGGCTATTATGGCCGGACTTCTAGACAGTCCGAGCGCGATTCATGCAAACCGATACTATCTCAATACCGGTATAAGACCATAGAAAATCGGTGCGCGCCTTCTCGAAGGCGTGGTGCACGAACAAGTTGAGCGTTACAAAGCAACGGCCAAGATAGACTTTGCACACGTGCGCGTATGCAACATATGTGTCCGCTGATAAAACTGTCAGCGTGAGTTTTTGCCTCCGTACGACGTCGCGAAAAGTCGAGAGTTTACACTAACTCGTTTACATTACACCTCGTATAAAGAAACAATCTAACGAGGAGCGAATAAATTGATGTAATACGAATTAGTTGCGGCAATTAACTGATTTAATGCAACGCGCGAAAGAGGAAACCGGCATCAGGTGTGCAGCTGATAACGCGTAATAACTTAGCATTCTGCTGCATTGATTCATCGCGCTTCTCGAGCAAATTTTTGATTTCTATTTTTTCTCGAAGAAGATATCGACGCGCCAACTTGGCTAAAAAAGGCTATTATTATTCTCATTTATTCTGGAGGAGTATAATTATATATATTCCTGGACGAAATTAACGCATAACTTTCTTTCACTTTTTCTTTAAAAGTTGATATTTAAATTTTAACGAAAAATTTTATATTTTATAATTCATCTCTCGTATATGTATAATTCACCTTCATCTTTTAAGCTTATCTTATATCTGTTTGATAGATTCAAAAAGTCATCTTGAGCGCGAAAAATTCTAGGTCCGCGACTGTCCGCGATATTAATCTACGCTCATTGATGTTATCTCTTTGACATCGGCCATGTTGGCGGCTCCTTTTCCTCAACAGGGCGTGGTAGAAGGCAGATGGCAGTTACGGATACATACTACGAGTATATCTCGCGATATATCCATAAGGTCAGCTGACAAGGCGATCGGTGCAAAGTTACCGTTATACGTACACGAGAAGACTTACCTACGCCCAATAGAAGAGACAGAGGGATAGAGGAGAAAGAGAGAATGTGCAGGAGAGCGATATAATCGTTCTCTCGCATTCCGTTTGAATCTACAATTTTGTCCCGCAATAAGATAGCCAGGAAAAGCCTACCGGGCCCGGTGACGCAGAAATTGCACCGATAATATCATGCCGCACCTCGTTGCAATTTGCGACTCGCGTTTATTCGTTTGACATGTTGCCTTTCGATCAATGTGGCAATATGTGTTTATGCATTTTTGAACCACCGATTTTATCTTAATGACAAATACTTCAGCCAATCTAGTGTTAATTTTTTTCAAAATGTTTCCAGCTGTTGACAATTTTTAAATCAATTAATTTTTATAATCAATTTGAAAAAATTACACAAAGAGAAGTATGCGATTTTTAAATTAGTTTTAATCGATAATATTTTTCGCATTTTCGAATAAAAATCCATTATTTTTCGAATCAAAAGAATTTATCCATTATCGAATATATTCACATTTCTCATTCCTGATATTAGCTTTTGTCCATAACAATTCTCTTGAGTTAAAATACAAAAAATAGTGTATTTTATTAAAATTAATTAAAGTTTAATTACTTAAATAAATTTAATCAAATTTAATTTAATTAAAACGATTTAAATTTGTCCCGCTCTCTTTGTCCCGCGAGAAACATCACTCGCTTTATGAAGGTATCGAGCGACAGATGAAAAGAGGAGAAACAGACGGGACCTCACCGTCGCATAGATGTACACGACGCGATAGAGGTAGCTCGAGATAGTATCGGGGCGCTTTTACAAGAGAGAAACCATTCTTTATTTCTCTCTTTCGGGTCCATTTGAATAACACAACGGCGTGTTGCGAGTGCGCGGAGTCACGAGAGGAGAACACGCTACCGATGCGACCCGGCGACGCGAGAATTCCGAGATCGCCCATGAACTCGTTCTTATCGTTCCGAGGGAACGTGCGCAAACGATTCCTCGCGAACCGATATTCGACGCAATCCTGGAACACTTTTACGCAAGCTGGTTTTGTCAAAAAGACGTTATTCTTCTTCCACAAATTTCTCTTTTCGATGAAATGAAAAAACAAGTGTCATGATTTTTTCTCGAGATAATCAATCATTTTCAATAATCTATAGTTATACAGGGTTAGGTTTCTTAATAAGTGCGAAAAATTTTAGGAGATGAATAATAATAGTTATAAAGGAATGAAACTAGCAACCCCTATTCAATTTTTTATTAAAACTTTTTAATGGGCCGGAATATGATCATCTAAAAATATGCATTAAAAAGTTTGATTTATTTAGAAACTTTCTTATTTCTTTTATTTTTTTTGATAAAATCAGTTTTCAAGGAAAAAAATAAAATACGTTATCGTGCACAGCACGATGTTAAATAGCATAGGTTTCAAATTACGAGAAGTTAAATTTTAAAATAAAAATAAAACTAGAATAAATGTTGGGAAGATTGGAAGAAAATTATTTAATAAAAACCTGAAAATCTAACAAATAAAAACCTAATTTTTATCCCCATTATTGGAGAATAATTAACACGATAACTCCACAGGGAGGGATGTAGTCTCCTAAAATTTTTCGAACTTATTAAGAAACACCCTATAATAATAATTAAAAATGACACGCTCTGATTTTTACAGAAGAAAACTTTCGATAATAATTCGATTCAAAGATAATTGAAAATATCAAGAGAGGTATACAATCGTATGTCATTATAAGCATGGATGCAGTTATCATTGTATTGCATCTTAATCTTTGGAATCCATGAGAAGCACGATGTCAAAAAATGATACGACAAAGATGATTCCGATATGTATTAATAACGCAGTCAAAGACCAGGTGATGGCGCATGAGATTCGATTGGCAGGCTGCAACGGTGATATTTTCTCCCGATAGTCAACCTCGGCTAAAACGTCTCGCATAAGCGCAATTTGACGATCCGGCAATCAGTCAGTAATTTTAATTATCGCGCGCGTATTTACGACTGGAAATCGCCTCATCTCGGACACGGCAATCTCGAGGGCATCGCGCAGGCATCACCAGTAACGAAGGGACTTACTGATCGACGGCCAAGATTGTGTGCCGGCGGTCCTCTGACTAATTACATTCCTAACCCGAGACGGGGGCACGTCGCCGAGGAAATAGCGTACGCGAGTAAAGGCTGCACGATTCTATATCCAATTATGTACGGGCGATTGGCAGCGGGGGCCCCCGTAGATATGTTTCGCGATTTGATTGGCCTTCCTCGACCTGTTATCGTCGAACAGATATGCAGTTATTCGAGATTATGCCATTTCCCTCTCTCGCTCTTTCGATTTAATTACTTTAATATTCTCTTTGCTTAATAACTCTCCGTTGCAACTTCCGATATAACAAAGTTTCCAACGTCAAACAAACTGTTTTTCTATCATCGATGTACGAGAAACTCTCTCTCTTTTAAAATAGAATTTTAAAACGTAGAATGAAATTTTTAAACACTAACTGTAACTATTGTATATTCAAGCATATAATAAATATTATTTTTAAAAAAATAATAAACTTTTTATTTAATATGGTGGCCCATCGAGAAAATTCAACCATCGTCTTCAAAAAGAATAGTTGCATATAGCTGATTATTGTCTCCGTGGAACGAACGGCCCGTTCACGAGATCGTAAAACCAAGGCTGAATGACACGGCGAGTAATATCTGATAGAGGGTATGTGGTTGGTCGGTGTATTAGGACTAATGAACAGATTAGAGGCCCCGATATAACCCCACGGACGGCAGATGTGCCAAGCTACGTATAATACTAACATAAGAAATTCGTCGTATCCATATCGCGTATGCAATGACAAAAAAAATAACAAAAGCAAAAAATTTTGGAACTAAAATAAAAAATGCATCCTTCTCTCTCGATTTTTTCCTTTCACAAATCTTTTTTCGACTCATAAAACTATTAATAATTTTCTTTCGCGATTATAATCATATGCTCGTTATTAATTGCATAAGTTTCTCGAGCACAATGCGCGAGATGATAGATCTAATTAAATTATCATGAAACAATCGTCCGATCTTTCGGAGCTTATTTTTCGCGCGTTATCTCTTTTGAAAGCACCGGCTGTGTTTTACCCCCGCAAGACCAATGGCTTACAATTTGTATGCACAGTCATCCGCACTTCCACGTGGATTTATCAACGTGATATCTACAGTCCGGACAGAAAGCCTCTTGCTTTTGTTTCGAGTCCGTTCGAGCGTATCCCGCGGCATATAAAACGCAATAGAGATGCTGTGCGATGTTTCCATAAATTCCATCGTACAGCGTTTTTCAATATCGGACAATACCATATTTAA